AAAAGCTTTTAAGTTTCATTAGGTCCCATTTGTTTATTTTTGCTTTTGTTTCTAATATTCTGGGATGTGGGTCATAGAGGATCCTGCTGTGATTTTAGTATTTTAATTCTTTTCATTGCAATGGTGAATGGAATTGTTTCCTTAATTTCTCTTTCTGTTTTCTTATTGTTAGTGTATAGGAATGCAAGGGATTTCTGTGTGTTAATTTTATATGCAACATTACTATATTCATTGATTAGCTCTAGTAATTTTCTGGTGGAGTCTTTAGGGTTTTCTACGTAGAGGGTCATGTCATCTGCAAACAGTGGGAGTTTTACTTCTTTTTCAATCTGGATTCCGTTTATTTCTTTTTCTTCTCTGATTGCTGTGACTAAAACTTCCAAAACTATGTTGAATAGTAGTGGTGAGAGTGAACACCCATGTCTTGCTCCTGATGTTAGGGGAAATGCTTTCCATTTTTTACCATTGAGGATAATGTTTGCTGTGGGTTTATCATATATGGCTTTTATTATTTTTTTATTTTAAAAAATTTATTTATTTTAATTGGAGGCTAATTACTTTACAGTATCATAGTGGGTTTTACCATATGTTGACATGAATCAGCCATGGGTGTACTTCTGTTCCCCATCCTGAACCTCCCTCCCCATCCCATCCCTCAGGGTCATTCCAGTGCACCAGCCATGAGCACCTTGTCTCATGCATCAAACCTGGACTGGTGATCTGTTTCACATATGTTAATACACATGTTTCAATGCTGTTCTCTCAAATCATTTTATTATGTTGAGGTATGTTCCTTCCATGCCTGCTTTCTGGAAGGTTTTTATCATAAATGGATGTTAAATTTTGTCGAAGGCTTTCTCTGCATCTATTGAGAACATCATATGGTTTTTATCTCTTAATTTGTTAATGTGGTATATCACATTGATTGATTTGCATATATTGAAGAATCCTTGCATCCCTGGGATAAAACCCACTTGGTCATGATGCATGATCTTTTTAATATGTTGTTGGATTCTGTTTGCTAGAATTTTGTTAAAGCTTTTTGCATCTATGTTCATCAGTGATATTGGCCTATAGTTTTCTTTTTTGTGGCATCTTTGTCAGGGTTTGGTATTAGGGTGATGGTGGCCTTATAGAATGAGTTTGGAAGTTTACCTTCTTCTGCAATTTTCTGGAAGAGTTTGAGTAGAATAGGTGTTAGGTTTTTTCTAAATTTTTGGTAGAATTTGCCTGTGAAGCCATCTGGTCCTGGGCTATTGTTTGTTGGAAGATTTTTCATTACAGTTTTGATTTCCATGCTTGTGATGGGTCTATTAAGATTTTCTGTGTCTTCCTGGTTCAGTTTTGGAAGGCTATACTTTTCTAAGAATTTGTCAATTTCTTCCAAGTTGTCCATTTTATTGGCATATTGTTGCTGATAGTAGTCTCTTATGATCCTTTGTATTTCTGTGTTGTCTGTTTTGATTTCTCCATTTTAATTTCTAATTTGATCCTTCTCCCTTTTTTCCTGATGAGTCTGGCTAATGGTTTGTCTATTTTATTTATCTTCTCAAAGAACTGGCTTTTAGTTTTGGTGATTTTTGCTATAGTCTCCTTTGTTTCTTTTTCTTTTATTTCTGCCCTAATTTTTATGATTTTTTTCCTTCTACTAACCCTGGGGTTCTTCATTTCTTCTTTTTCTAGTTGCTTTAGGTGTAAAGTTAGGTTATTTATTTGATTTTTGTCTCGTTTCTTGAGGCAAGCTTGTATTGTTCTGAACCTTCTCCTTGGCACTGCTTTTACTGAATCCCATAGATTTTGAGTTGTCGTGTTTTCATTTGTTTATATGCATATTTTGATTTCTTTTTATTTCTTCTGCGATTTGTTGGTCATTCAGAAGTGTGTTGTTTAGCCTCATATGTTGGAATTTTTAATAGTTTTTTTTTCCTGTTGTTGACATCTAATCTTACTGCATTGTGATCAGAAAAGATGCTTGGAATGATTTCAAGTTTTTTTTCAATTTACCAAAGCTAGATTTATGGCTCAGGATGTGATCTATCCTGGAGAATGTTCCGTGTGCACTTGAGAAAAAGGTGAAACTCATCAAGTTGGTGATGCCATCCAACCATCTCATCCTCTGTCATCCCCTTCTCCTGCCTTCAGTCTTTCCCAGAATCAGGGTCTTTTCCAATGAGTCAGTTCTTTGCATCACGTGGCCAAAGTATTGGAGCTTCAGCTTCAGCATCCATCCTTCCAGTGAATATTCAGGACTGATTTCCTTTAGGATTGACTGGTTTGATCTCCTTGCAGTCCAAGGGTCTCTCAAGAGTCTTCTCCAATACCACAGTTCAAAAGCATCAATTCTTAGGTCTTCAACCTTCTTCATGGTCCAGCTCTCACATTTGTACATGACTACTGGAAAAACCATAGCTTTGACTATATGGACCTCTGTTGGCAAAGTAATGTCTCTGGTTTTTAATACACTGTCTAGGTTTGTCAGCGCTTTTCTTCCAAGGAGAAGAGCTGGCTTGGTGGTGGTGAATTCCCTCAGCTTTTGTTTGTCTGTAAAGCTTTGCTTTCTCCTTCAAATCTTAATGAGATCCTTATTGGCTAGAGTAATCTAGGTTGTAGGTTTTACCCTTTCATCACTTTAAGTATATCCTGCCATTCCCTTCTGGCCTGCAGAGTTACTTTTGAAAGATCAGCTGTTATCCTTATAGGGATCCTCTTTATATCTTGATTGAGGTGGTGTTTAGCTTTAATCCCTGACTTTTGCATATTATTACAAGTAATTTGAGATCAGGAGAAGTTGGGTGAATTGTCCAAAGTGATGTAGTTTAATAATCAGAGAGAAGATGGTGGATCTAATTATCAATAATTGTTTCTATTATGTTATGTAATGAGTCAATAGTAATAGTGCTTCCCCCCAAGCACCTGGTAAAACTCTGACCTAACTTTTTTATACAAGTAAAGTATGGACATGAAAGTATAACTATTGTGCATTCCAAGCACCTGCATTCCAAACCCCTCCTCTTCCTCATCCTGCATCTCCTCAATTTCTCCCATGATAGTACCATCTCTCAGATAATGCTTCCCTGAGGGCTCAGCAGATAAAGAAACTGCCTGCAATGCAGGAGACACAGTTTGATCTCCGGGTCAGGAAGATCCACTGGAGGAGGAAATGGCATCCATTCCAGTATTCTTACCTGATAAATCCCATGGACAGAGGAGCCTGGTGGGCTACTAGGTCACAAAGAGTCAGACAGGACTGAGGGACTGAGTAAGCATCTTGAACTGGCAGAAGAGTTTCCTTTTGGGGTGTGTGGGATTGAACTCTTAGGCCAGGTTGGCATTTTGCTTGTCTATCGTCCTATTAGCCTAAGACATTGTACATGGTGAGTGGGCCACTGATGTGTGTTCAAACTTGTATTTTTGTTCTGCTTTTCAGAATACAGAGGTGGTGATAGTTCACCTGAAGGAAGAAATGAAGGTTGGAGTTCTTTCCAAGATAATTTTGACAAGAGGAGCCTTCGTTATGAAGATAATGGATATGAGACTCAGCCTTCACACCGCCGTGATGGTGATAGAAGTCTGGTGATGCGGGATGTCCAGGAGGACCCCAAAGGAAGACCGTAAGTGATCAGGCAGCAGGGTTTGCACATAGCAGCCCCTGGGACAGTGCAGCTCTCCCTGTGGACTTCTTTTCCTTCTCTCACTGTAAAACTGAAGTATGCTAGAAGTGAAATAATGGTTGTGCAACCCTAATTGTGGAGTTTTCCCTGGTGATCAGTGGTAAAGAATCCACCTGCCAATGCAGGAGATGAGGGTTAAATCACTGGGTCAGGAAGATCCCCTGGAGAAGGAAATGGCAACCCACTTCGTTATTCTTCCCTGGGAAATCCCATGAACAGAGGAGCCTGGTGGGCTACAGTCCATGGGGTTGCAAAGAGTCAGACACAACTTAGTGACTAAATAACAACAATCCAAACTGTAGTGCTGGTGTCAAAGAGACAAGTGTGTACAGAAGACTTTCTTAGCACTTATGGCCACTTACCCTTCTTCTCTCCATGTCAGCTCTCCCTATTCCTTCCGAGGCAATGGGAGGAGAGTGAGGTGGCGCAGAGAAGGCAATATCCATGTTACTGTGTGGGGAAATGGAAAACCTGTGATGAGAGAAATGAAGAACACACAAGATGGTGCCCAAGGGAGCTGGTTTAAGGTCACAGTGAGTATCCTGAAAAAAGTATGGACTGTGAAAGAGAGAAAAGTCAGGAGTTATGTTGGTCTCATGTGGAGATGCTAGTTTATTTTGCTGGGGACAGTTTTTAATCTGACCATTTTATTTCTAGGAGTTAACAGTCTTGTTCATCTAAGGGCAAATTCAGAGAAGCAATATAAAGGGAACAGACCGGCCGTAAGGAGAACGTTGGAGACTATCTCAAGGCAAAGACATGAACTACTGACTAGGATATGGAGCAGCTGTGCACTAGAGGTCTCAGTTTGGCTAGCTGAGTGTGGGACATGGGGTGCTGAGTCTCTGGAGAACTTGTCTGAGGGGCAAGCAGTATCTGCGCTAGGTAGGATCTCCTGGAACTTTATTAAAGGAAGGTCATCTCTAACACCTTGATTATTTGGCAGAGAGCTTTGACTGGAGAGGAGTATTTTGGAAATCCATATTATGCACAAACATAAGAAATCATACCAGTGGTCCCTTCTTTAGATGCCCTTTCAAGCTCAGTAGAAGACTGGAAAAGAACAGGAAAAGGTTTGTTCTCCAGGCTCAATTCCCTGTCATCTGTCCTCTGTCTCAACCTCTCTTTTCATCCTTAGATTCCTCATGGGATAAAGTATGACAAGATATGGCTAATGAACTCAATCCAGAGCCTTTGCAGTGTGTGCTTTACTCCAGTGGATGTAAGACAGGATGCCGAAGCCAGATGAGTGGGCACAGGGAAGGGGGAGAGATCTGGTATAGCAGGGTCTGTTGGCCTCTGATACTATTTCTGTTGCGTTCGATCCCTGTAGTTCCACTATGTGAGAAGTGGGGCTCGATTCTTTGTCCAGGAAGCTAGCGCTGCCTCTGCCTTGATGGATGTCAGCTACAAGATCTATGATGAGGAGAACCAAAAGGTGTGTGTCCGGGTCATTGCCTACAATGCATCCTGGGACAGGAGGACAGGCCTGGGGCTAGCCGTCATCTTTGGAACTAGAGTTGCTGCTTACCCCACCTCTTCTTCCTACAGATACCTATCTTTGTCAACCCCTCTGCTGTTCCCTACTCTGTGCGTAATAAGTTGGAACCAGAAGAAATGGAGCAGCTAAAGGTAATGCCAACTCAAGGCATGCTGTATGCCAACACTCACCTCTACCTCTTCTTCCCCCAGCCCCCCATCCCTCTCACCCCAGATTTCCCTGCCACCACCACAGTCTCAGAGCGGCTCTCTCCCTCTCTCTGTCTCTGCAGCTGGCCTTTAACAAACGATTTGATGTCTCCCAGCAATCTCTTGACCTCCAGAAGCTCCGCTTTGACCCAAGTATGGCTGACAGTAGTAATTTGAGGGCGGGTGCGGGCAGAGGGAATCTTCCTAGAGGGAGACTTGGGGATGGTAATGTGGTGAGGGGCTGATTATGGGCCTGGACCCCGCTTGGTGTTCTGAATCCCTCCCCTCTCCTTCCTGAAGACTTGATGGGCCAAGATGTTAAGATAATTCTGAATCGAAGAAACTGCATGGCTGCTGCCCTGCAGATCATCAAGAAGAACTTCCCTGAGGTGAGGCTGAAGGCCCAGCTCTGATATTATGATAGGGGGTGGAAGAAATGGGGTGGAGGGCGGATTTGTCTCCAATATCCAGGATAGTAACCTTCACTCTAACTCTTCTTCACCCAAAGCTATTGTCCTTGAACCTGAGCTGCAACAAACTGTACCAGCTGGACGGCCTGTCTGACATTGTGCACATGGTCCCCACAATCAAGATACTGAACCTCTCCAAAAATAAGGTGAGAAGAAGGAGTCAGATCAAAGTTGTGATGAGAGTAGGGGAGGTGGTCGTGGTCATCAGAGTGATAACAGGAGACAGGTGAGGGTACCTGTGGTGGGGAGGGGGCGGTGGAGGCTGGGCTTCAAGGCCTGGTTGTTTCTCTTTCCCTGGGATTCATTTTCCAATTTCCTCTCCATATTTCTCAGCTGAACTCTTTGTGGGAGTTAAACAAGATGAAAGGGCTGAAGCTTGAAGAGCTGTGGCTGCGAGGGAACCCACTGTGTGACAGCTTTCCAGACCAGTCCACCTACGTAAGGTCTGTGTGAGACCATCCTGTCACTCTTCATAGTGTCCTTTACCCATGGGGGCCTAAAATATTTCTGACAGTACCTCTTTGCCAAAGGTTGTAGCCCTGGTCTTCTGGGAGGATTAAGGGCTCTGCCTTCTCTTTTCTGTGTCCCTTTAGCTCAATTCAGTCACTCAGTTGTGTCCGACTCTTTGCAACCCCATGAACTGCAGCACGCCAGGCCTCCCTGTCCATCACCAACTCCCAGAGTTTACTCAAACTCATGTCCATTGAGTCGGTGATGCCATCCAACCATCTCATCTTCTTAGTTTTCTGAATGTTGAGCTTTAAGCCAATTTTTTCACTCTCCTCTTTCACTTCCATCAAGAGGCTCTTTAGTTCTTCACTTTCTGCCATAAGGGTAGTGTCCTCTGCATATCTGAGGTGATTGTGTCTCTTACCTGTGAGGAATTTCCTTCCTCTGACCTGCTTACCTCTTCAGGTCTCAGAAGTCTGCTTCTGGTTCTCTGCCCCCAGCATTCTCCACCAGGGCCTCCCAAGAGCATGGTTCAGGAATCAGGGCTCCTCTCCCTCACCGAGACCAGGAGTGACCAGACCTGACCCTAATGCTGGGCCCTGGACTGAGAAGGGTCACCCAGGTCTGGACCTCATGCTGAGACCGGCCTTCCTTCTCCATGCTGAGACGGGGCTTCCCTCCTCCATTCAGAGAGGGTCCTTCTCCCCCTACCTCCAAAAGGGTTCCCCTCCTCTTCTATGTTGACACAGGGGCTTTCTTGCCCAGTGCTAGGGGCTGAAGTCCTGGGTGGCTGCTGTCATGACATCCGTTCCCCTGGCCCAAAGCCAGGGACTGGATCCTTCTTAGGAAAAAAGCAGAGTTCCTTGAGTCAAGGGGCCAGAAGTTGGCCACCGCCAGTGAGCAGAGAGGTTCCTGAGGCAGGAGAGGAAGGCAGGGGGCAGAGGAGTTAGAGGAGACTGCAGGACAGGCCTCTCAGGGGACACCACCTGTCCCTCCCTGTACACGTCACATCATCCTGCCTGTCCTCCAGAGGAACCCCTGTAGCCTGAGACACATGTGATTCCTCAGAGAAAGATCCAACTCAGATAGGCGCAGAGGCCATCAAGAGAGAAAGTGGTGATCATAAGGGCGGGCTAAAGACCCTCAGCTCTGCACTGAGCTGGGACCTGGCCCTTTATTACTTCTGGGGAAGATCTACCCCCATGGCTACTCCGTTTCCCATGCCCAGGTCTGACTGAGCTCACACAGGTGACAAAGCTTCAACCAACATCCAGTGGCCGGCCCCCAGCCCAACATGTGCATAGTTTCCATTCCTACCTGGGGTGCCTGGGCTGTTCCAGGGCAGGGGAAGGAAAGGGCTGCAGCAGGGGCACTACTTCCTCTTTCTTCTGTCTTCTCCCTTGACCCCCACAATGGTAGAGCTTCCTTCCCTTCTCTTCCCTTTGCTTTCTCTCTCTCCCTTGTCTCTGAGCCCCCATATCTCCCTTGTTTCTCCCCTCCTCCCTCCACTCTCTTTCTGTCTTCATCCCTCTCCCTCCCTCCTGAGCCCCACCTCACTCACCTCCCTTCCACAGCCTCCTGGGCCATCCCTGAGGTGTGACCTGACTTGGCAGAGTGCTGGATGCCCAGAGAGGTAGCAAAGCCCCAGGCTCCCATTCTCCCATTCCCTCTTCTCTCCACAGCCTTCACTGGGCCCTGGAGGAAGGAAGGCAGGGAGGAGAGGAAGGCCTGCAGACTGGATTTGAAGTGTTGGTCCTTGTGGCACAGGAGAAGGGAGTCATGGCAGTCTAGGTGGGAGCTACCCAGGGGAAAGGAGAGGGAGAAGGAGAGGAGGAAGGAATATTAAACTTAAGGTACTTAGAGAGATGGTGCCTTTCAATCAGATGAGAGATACTCAGCGTTCAACAGGGAAGTCAACCCCAAACCCTCAAAATCAAAAGTTGAGGTGGGTACAAGGGGCTGCTGAATGGGCAAGAACACCCCAGTCTCTGTTTATCATGTTAATGTTTTAACTCAAATTAGGCATTACAACCTTGAACTATCAACCACCTCTTCTCTATTTTTGGTTTTGGACAGTGCCATCATAGAATGTTTCCCAAAGTTACTACGCCTGGTAAGTTCCTATGTAAATCATTGTATCTTACTAACATTTCTGACCTCCTACACTCAAGCCCTTTGGTTCTTGCCTAGATTATGTGTTGGTATCAGACCCTTGACCACTTTAGGGGATACGGAGTCCTGAAAATGACATGGATATGCTCACTGGAAAAATATCCATAAACACACACACAGACACATAAAAGTTGCATATAATACTAGAGACCTCTAGGACTTCATGATGAAGATACCCACTGTAAGCTTGCCTGTGGACTTTCTAGGACCCTTTTATAACTTACCTCCTATCCTCCGCAACCTGGGATCATCCTTTTCCCTGATCATCCAGGGTCACTCCCTTGGTCTCCACTCCTGACTTCCCCTTCCGTTCTCCAGGATGGCCGGGAGTTACCCTCACCAGTTGTCATTGACAGTGACACTTCCTGTGCAATAAAGCCTAGCAAGGTGAGGAAGAGGATCAAACAATATTTGGGGCTATTTCAGGTGAGGGTTTATCCACTACATAGTCCCAAATGCCTTTTGATTCCAGGAAAACTATAAAGAATCTGACATACTGAAGAATATGATCCTTCAATTCCTGACGCAGTAAGTTCACTTGGGACCATGAGGAATAGAGAGGGCTGAGACTGGGTCAGGCCACCAAACTGCAGGTCTCCTTGCAGAGACTTTCAAGTCTCCTTTGGGGCTCAGAACACTGACAGCCTGTCCTCACTGCTGTTCCACAGATATTACTTGATCTATGACTCTGGAAACCGATATGATCTCCTCAGTACTTACCACCACAAGGCCTGTTTCTCCCTGACCATTCCATTCCACTCTGAGGATCCAGCCCTGTGAGTATCACTGCCAAAACTCCTCCCTCAGGCTGTGTGGTTCCCCAGTAGACACAGGCCAACTCTTGCTAACATCCCTGCTGGCTGGACCACCACCCATTTTTACTCTGTCTTCTAGAAGCAGCTTATGCGCTTATTTCAAGGACAGCAGGAATATGAAGACAGTCAAGGACCCCAGTGAGTGTGTGGTGGGAAGGCTGGGCAGAAAGGGGGGTGAGGGAGCCAATCATAGGGTCCAGGCCGTGGCAACCCTGACTTTTGCTTTCTTTCCCTCCTCTACAGACCTGCGTGTCCAGCAGTTGAAGCACACAAATGGTGACATTGTGCATGCCCTCTGTGTGTTGCCCAAAACTCAGCATGACCTCAGCTCCTTCATGGTGGACATGTGGTTCCAGACAGTGAGTGGCTGCTTCTTCCCTTGGTGGGGCGGCAGTGGCGGGGGTGGGGGGGGAGCCCTGTAGGGGGATAGTCAGGCAGGAAGCCACAGGTGGGGAAGAGGTTGAGGGGGTGACATTACCTGGGCTCTTCCTTTTCAGAGTACGATGCTCTGCTTCTCTGTCAGTGGGGTGTTCAAGGAAGGTGAGTGTGTGTAGCCCTCTTCCCCCAGATGCCCCACTGCTCCCTCCTCTGGCTAGGCTCCCCCCTCAAGAGCCCTTCCAGCTTCTCTGCACTCCCCTCCCCTTCCCTTTCATTCTGTCCCCTCCCCTGGACTCCCCTCTTTGACTCCCCTTCCCTTCCCTTCCCTCCCTGTTCTTTCCCTCCCCTCTCCGTTCTTTCCCTCCTTTCCCCTCCCTTCCCTCTGTGTCCTCCAGCCCTCAGTCTTCCCACAGACAACCCAGATCTGAACTGCGTCCATGTCTGCCCTGCCTGCCTTGGACATTACGGACGTAGGCTGTGGAGTTTGGTGGCTCCCATCTCAGATCCTTACACTGAGAACTTGGGCCATTACTTAACCTCACAGTTTCCTCATTTGCAAAATGGGGTCATAATATCCACCTCTTGGGCAGCTATGAAAAATGCATCCCATGAACTTGTAAAGTGGTTGCCATGGGGACATGTCACTGGGAGCAGACAGCTCCTACAGTTGCCCTCCCCATTCCCAACACTCTGGTTCCCCAAGTGAAGAGCTGTCCCCTCAGCATGACTGGGGTCCACCATGGGAGCCTGTAAACATGTAGGGCTCTAAGAGCTATTGTTTGTTGTTTGTTGAAGTGGAAGGAGGGTTTCAGGACTGTGTGCGTGCCTTCACCCGGACCTTCATCACTACCCCTGCCAGCTCTTCCAGGTGAGAGCCGTGTTGTGAGCGGAATGACCCATTCAGTGTGATTTCGGAGTCCTGGACATGTGGTGGTGCAGACCTTATGTTTATTCAGTATTGTGGAAAGCCAGCAGGGAGCTCCAAGGAGCAGTCTAGCCTAGTGGTTAGGAAGAGCATGGCCTCTGGAATCAGCACATGGGTTCTCTCCCTGACCCAACACTCTCTGTGTGACCTTGGTCAAGTCACATGACCTCTCCATGACTCAGTGTCTTCTGAAAATGGGAATCAGACTGTACACTCCTGTACTGTAGTGTACTGGGCTGCTGTTCAGGGTAAATGTGAAGTTGTCCCTGGGTTGGGGGTCAACCTATCCACTGAGTGAAGCTGGTAGACAATCTCTCTGAAGGTGGGCTCTGTGTGAGGGGCAGAGGAACCAGTCAAGGAGCCTGGGGACAGACACAGGAGGGGGATGGAAGGAATCTGGTTGCTGAGTGGTGGTGGCAGCAGTCAGGATTGGGGGTGCTGGTTGTCCATCCATTAGTTATCTAAATGCGCATTTTTCCTCCAGTCTTTGTATAGTGAATGATGAGCTGTTTGTGATGGAAGCCAGCCCTAAAAACACCCAGAGTGCATTCTCCATCCCAGTGCCCATACCACCCACCAGCTCCGTGGCCACTTTCTCCAAGGAACAGCAGCAAATGGTGCAAGCCTTCTCCACTCAGTCTGGGATGAACTGTCAGTGGTCTCAGAAGTGAGTATTGTGTGTGCATGAAGATAAGAGGGAGCTAGGAGAATGATGGAATTAATAATGGGAACACACAAGCAATTTGGAAAAATAAGTATTTGGATATTTTGCTTCCAAAAAAGTAAGCTTGTGAAAAAGATAAACAAATCTTATGATTATATATGTAAATCATTTTAAAAACAGTATCATGCTCATATGACATGATATTTTATATGGAAAATGATAAGAAGTTCACTAAGACACTGTAAGAATACATAAACAAGTTCAGTAAAATTTCAGGATATATGATCAGTATACAAAAGTCATTTATATTTCTATGCACTTAAAATGAAAAAATCCTAAATTGAAATTAAGAAAACAATTTGATTTATAGTAGGATCAGAAAGGATAAATGTTTAGAGCAAAATGTAACTAAAAGAAGTAAAAAAATTATACTTTAAAATCTTCAAAACATTATTGGAGTAAATTAAAGAAAATCTTTAAAAAAGATATTCTGTGTTCATGTTGGAAGACTTAATATTGTTAAGATTGTAGGTGCTATTCAAAGTGATCTACAGAGTCTAAACCATAGCAAAAATCCCTGTTGGCTCCTTTCCAGAAATTGATTAAATGATCCTCAATTTTCACATGGAAGTGCATGGACTCAGAATAGTCAAAACAATATTGAAAGGGAATAATGTTGAGGACTCACAAATCCTGGTCCTCACAATTTCTAAACTTACTACAAAGATACTATAATCAAGGCTGCATGGCACTGACATTTGATAGATTAGTGCAGTAGATTTGAGAGTCCTGATATAAACCCTGACATTTGTAGCTAATTAATTTTTAGTGGGTGCCAAATTAATTAATGGAGAAAAAATAGTCTTTTTGACAGATGGTGCTGGGACACATGGGTATTCACATGGCAAAAAAAAAAAAAAGAATTTTGTCTCCTATCACAGACCATATACAAATATTGGCTCAAAATGGATCAAAGACCTAATATAAAATCTACAAGTGTAAAAACTCTTACTGACTTTCACTTAGTATGACAATCTCTAGGTCTGTCCATGTTGCTGCAAATGGTATTATTTCATTCTCTTTTATGACTGAGTAATATTCCATTGTTTATATGTGCCGTATCTTCTTTACCCATTTCTCTGACAGTGGACATTTATGTTGCTTCCATGGCTTGTCTAATGTAAATAGTGCTGCTATGAACATTGGGATGTGTGTATCTCTTTGAATTATGGTTTTCCCTGGATATATGCCCAGGAATAGGGTTGCTGAATCATATGATAGTTCTATATTTAGTTCTCTAAGGCACCTTCATGAAAAGTGAAAGTGGAAGTCACTCAGTCGTGTCCAACTCTTTGCGACCTCATGGACTATACAGTCCCTGGAATTCTCTAGGCCAGAGTATTGGAGTGAATAGCCTTTCCCTTCTCCAGGGGATCTTCCCAACCCAGGGATCGAACCTAGGTCTCCTGCATTACACGCAGATTCTTTACCAGCTGAGCCACAAGGGAAGGCTATACTGTTGTCCATATTGGTTGTACCAATTTACATTTCCACCAACAGTGGAGGAGGGTTCCCTTTTCTCCACACCCTTTCTAGTATTTATTGTTCATAAATTTTTTAATGCTAGCCATTCTGGCTGGTGTGAGGTGATACCTCATTGTCATTTTGATTTGCATTTCTCTAATAATTAGTGATGTTGAGCATCTTTTCATGCATTTTTTGGCTTTCTGTATATAATCTTTGGGGAAATGTCTATTTAGATCTTCTTCCCATATTTTGGTTGGGTAAGTAAAGCAAGTCAGACAGAGAAAGACAAATATAGTATGATATCACTTACATGTGAAGTCTAATAAAAATGATACAAATGAACTTATTTACAAAACAGAAATAGACACAGATCTTGAAATAAATTTATGGTTACCAAAGGGAAAGTGTGGGGAGAAGTGATAAATTAGGATATTGCAATTAATATCTACACACTGCTATATACAGAATAGATAACTAATAAAGACCTACTATATAGCACAGGGAACTCTACTCAATGTTCTGTAATAATCTATGTGGGAAAATAACCTGAAGAAGAATATATATATATGAATATGTATGTATGTATATGTATATACTCAGTTTGTTATATACCTGAAACTAACATAACATTGTAAGTCAATTATACTCCAATAAAAATTTTTAAAAGCACTTAGAATAAAACATAGGTGTATATCTTCATGACCTTGAATCAGTCACCAGTTTCTTATGTGTGACACCAAAAATACACGCAGCCAAAGAAACAAATAAATTGCACTTCATCAAAAGTAAAAACTTTTGTGCATCAAAGGACACTATCAAGAAAGTGAACATACCACCCACAAAATGGGAGAAAATATTTGCAAATCTCATATCTGATAAGGTCTGCTGTCTAGAATATTGAAGGATTTTACAAGTCAACAATCAAAACATAAATACTAATTTAAAAATGGAGAAAAGATTTGAATAGATACTTCTCTAAATATGGTATACAAATGACCGGCAAGCACATGAAAACATGCTCAGCATCCTTAATCATTAGGAAAATACAAATCAAAACAACCACTTATTTCACATACACTAAGATGGCTTTAATCAATGAAACAAAAGATAAGCATAGGTGAAGGTGTGGAGAAGTTAGAATGCTCATGTATTAGAGGTATATGGAATACTCACTTCGGAAAAACATTTGGAAGTTCCTCAAAATATTAAAATGGGGTTACCATATCACCCGGTAATCCCACTCCTAAATATCTACCAGGAGAAATGAAAGCATATGTTCACTCTAAAACTTATTCAGGAATAGCATTATTCATAATAGTCAAAATATGGAAAAAACTGATGAATGGATGAATAAAACTGGTACAGCCATATAGTAGAATATTATTCAGTCATAAAAAAGAATACAGTTCTGATATATGTCATGACATGGATGGACCTTGAAAACATGATGCTAAGTGAAAGAAGCCAGTCACAAGAAGTCAGATATTGTAGGAAATGTTCATAATTGGCAAATCCACAGGGACCAAAATCATATTAGTGGTTGCCAGGAGAAGGGGAGGAATAGAGAGGGATCATTAATGGTTAAGGAGTTTCTTTTTGAGGTGTTAAAATGATTCTGGAATTAGATAGATGTGATAGGTGCACAATCTTCTAATAAAAAGCACTGATTTGTATACTTTAAAATGATGTGTGCATTATATCTCAATAAAAGACAGTTGGAAACTAGTACTTTATAATTTTTCATTTGTCATTTTCTTGAATGTCTTTCTTGATCAGTATATATTGAATTCCCTTGTTCTTATGCACAGTTCAATTTTTCTGTTTTGAATTCCAGTGGGCATGAATGCTAGTGACAGATGATTTGGTTTTCGCTGGTCTTTCTTCATCATTACACATACCGTTCACACTGGTCCATGTGTCCCAGCAAGAAAAGTGGCATGAATTTAGTGGTGGCATTGCAGTGTCAACATGTCTGTATTGTGCTACTAATGGAGAGCACCTGTTCTTCTCCCACTACAGGTGCCTTCAGGACAATGAATGGAACTACACCAGAGCTGGTCAAGTCTTCTGTATGCTCAAGGTGAGGTCTGGGAATCAAGTAGGTTAAAGATGAACACTTCTGGGCCTTCGGGGAGGCCAAGAAAGTGGAGGCTGGTGGTCTGGGAATGGAACTTGGGGACTGGCTTTTTAACATCCCAACTCCTTCCCTCCAGACCGAGGGCAAGATCCCAGAGGAAGCCTTCAAAGAAATCCCCTGAAAGGAGCCCTTGGATGTCGTCTTTGGATTCATCCACATCGTCTTTTTCTCTCTAGCCTCAGGCCACGCCCGTGACTGGGGTTGGAAACTGACCAAGAAGCCAAAGTTACATTATAGGCCAATTAACATATCCTGAGGGTCAGTTGTTCTGCATATTTCCCTCACTCATTATTGCTGTGTTTGTTTTCATAATAAAGAGTGATGTTGCATGTTATATGTTATGTGTCCTTCATTGCTCTTCCTTGCCCCAATCATGAGCCAGTGGGTCCAGGTCTGAAAAGTCCTGCCCTCCTCCCTGACCCACATTCCCCTTGGTAATCCCTGGAAGATACATCAGGCTTGATGTCAATAAATTATGATGAGAGGAGACATGATATGCTTCCAGGGATTGGTTTTTGGAGGTGGTGTGACCCAGATGCTCTTCCTAGAGATTCTCAGAAGCAGGCATGTGACCTGGAACAACAGAGGCTTTGCAAGGAATGCCAACTGGCTAGTGAGGGCAGTGGAAAGAAGATGAGGACATACATGTTTTACTTCTTATTCCTAATTACTTCCAAAGACCATACTGTGAACAGTTTCATGATTTTCATACAGATGAATGAGAAATCCTAGAGGAGGGCATGGCAACCCACTCCAGTATTCTTCCTGGAGAATCCCATGGACAGAGGAGCCTAGTAGGCTACAGTCCAAAGGGTCACACAGAGTCGGACACAACTGAAGTGATGTGAGCATGCATGCATGAGTGAGAAATGGGCCTTTTCACACCTCTCACCATGCTTCCATAAGGAATCTCATTCATCCCCTGTACTGCCCCTTTCTAAAGGTACACTGTAGGAGGGATCTCACCTCAGTACCTTAGAGTAGGGGAGAGTCAGCCTGTCTACCCATGCATCTCTCAGCTGACATCGGGTGCTTGAGGGGGTTGAGCCATCTCATTTCACTTCCAAACAAACAACACGAAATCTCACATTATGGTTAAGTCTGTGTGACCTTTCTCACACAATTAGCAGTACAGAATTACAAGCAAGAGTTGAAAGGGACACAACTTATTTTCTGCACTTCTGTAATGTATACCCTTCAGACAACAAGCAGGCATGATTTTTGAAATGAGAATAATAGCGGTGTCACATTTTAAGCTATGATCATATACATGATGGTACAGGTGTGGTACCACCAGTTTATGAATTATGCCTCCATTTTGGTGTCTTGCATAAGTTATTTTCTACCACATGCAACTTTTCAGCTCTTTACGTACATTTACATGAAGGATTCATATATTGGCTTGTGAACTCTTTAAAAATATGAACTAAGGGGATGATTGCCATTACATTAGAAATTTTGCTGTTCAGTTGCTAAGTTGTGTCCATCTCTTTGCAGCCCCATGGACTGCAGCACACCAGACTTCCCTTCCTTCACTGTCTCCAAGAGTTTGCTCAGATTAATGTCCATTGAGTCAGTGATCCTATCTAACCATTTCATCCCCTGCCACCCTCTTCTCCTGCCGTCATTCTTTCCCAGCATCAGGGTCTTTTCCAGTGAGTCAACTCTTCGCAAGAGGTGGCCAAAGTATTGGAGTTTCAGCTTCAGCATCAGTCCTTTCAATGAACAACCAGGACTGATCTCCTTTAGGATAGACTGGTTGGATCTCCTTGCAGTCCAAGGGACTCTCAAAAGAGTCTTCTCCAACACCGCAGTTCAAAAGCATCAATTCTTTGGCACTCAGCCTTCTTTATGGTCCAACTCTCACATTTATTACTACATGGCTACAGGAAAAACCATAACTTTTACTATACAGACCTTTGTCATGAAAGTGATGTCTATGCTTTTTAATACACAATCTAGGCTTGCCATAGCTTTCATTCCAAGGAGCAAGTGTTTTTTTTAATTTCATGGCTGCAGTCACCATCTGCAGTGATTTTGGAGCCCAGGAAAATAAAATCTGGCACTGCTTCCACTTTTTCCCCTTCTATTTGCCATGAAGACATGGGACCAGAGGCCATGATCTTAGTTTTTTAAATATTGAGTTTTAAGCCAGCTTTTTCACTGTCCTCATTCACCCTCATCAAGAGGCTCTTTAATCCCTCTTCAGTTCAGTCACTCAGTCATGTCCTATTCTTTGCAACCCCATAAACTGCAGCACGCCAGGCCTCCCTGTCCATCACCAACTCCTGGAGTCCACCCAAACCATGTCCACTGAGTCGGTGATGCCATCCAACCATCTCATCCTCTGTCGTCCCCTTCTCCTCCCAGCCTCAATCTTTCCCAGTATCAGGGTCTTTTCAAATGAGGCAGTTCTTTGCATCAGGTGGTCAAAGAATTGGCGTTTCGGCTTCAGCATCAGTCCTTCCAATGGATATTCAGGACTGACTTCCTTTAGGATGAACTGGTTGGATCTCCTTGCTATCCAAGGGACTCTCAAGAGTCTTCTCCAACATCAAAGTTCAAAAGCATCAATTCTTCGGTGCTCAGCTTCCTTTATAGTCCAACTCTCACATCCATACATGACTACTGGAAAAACCATAGCTTTGGACCTTTGTTGGCAAAGTAATGTCTCTGCTTTTTAATTCATGATGTACTCTGCATACAAGTTAAATAAGCAGGATGACAATATACAGCCTTGACATACTCCTTTCCCAATTTTGAACCAGTCAGTTGTTCCATGTAATGTTCTAACTGTTGACTCTTGACCTGCATACTGGTTTCTCAGGAGACAGGTAAGATGGTCTAGTATTCCCATCTTTTTAAGAATTTTCCACAGTTTGTTGTGATCCACTCAGTCAAAGGCTTTTGTGTAGTCAATGAAGCAGATGTTTTTCTGGAATTCCCTTGCTTTCTCTATGATCCAACGAATGTTGGCAGTTAATGTTATTTCATGTAGTGCCTCAATTATCGCAGACAAGACTTGACATTCTCAGAGAACAGAGATCACAGTGTACATTTCTCAGTCACATGTGAGGAATAGAGGCAGACTCCAGTGTAAACCAATTGCACTGTCTGGCTCAACTCAGGCTCTTTGAGATCCCTTGTGGACAGGGAACATGGAACTCATTACATGGACCTTCTACATCCTCTCTACATTATCAGGCTTTCACATCCTTGACCTTCTTTAGCCAGCTCAGATGTTACCTTGGTCTTCCATTCACTTGTTCTCCTGCAGATTCCTTGCTTTCAGTTCCCTTGCTCTGATGATTCTGGGCAAATGTTAACTCTGATGCCTGTCTCTCTGAATCTCTTTCTGACCTTCATCTCCAACTAACTTGTGTGCCTTCCCTCAGAATTGCTCTGGCTCCCATGTGGTACTTTCTGCTCCCAACACTTTGTCCCAGAACTTTTGTCTGAACTGATCCCTTACCCCAGGCATCTCCGCCTGTAGCCCCCATCCCCAGCCCTACTACTACTGCTTATATTCCAAAATATGGATTCTATTTATCCTATTTACCTGCTCATAAGTTTGTTTTTATTGCTGACTTTCATTTTTTACTTAAATACAGTGATTTTTTAAAAGAGTGAACCAAAAAAATTTATAGCAAACATTTCACATAAACATGCATGTCTTCATGAAATGGTCTTGTCGTCCAACCTACTGGTTAAGACCTGAGTTTCACCAATCCTACCTTCCTTGCCAAATGAAAACATTCGATTTGTCTGTACCTAATGTATATCAACATAACAGAAATCAACAGAGGAGGAGTCCATGAAGGTGACATACCCACAGAGCCCCCAAGTAGGGCTGGACGAGGGGAGCTGACAAGACACAAAGGCAGGAAGAACAAGTCCAGTTTGACTGGCAGGAGGGTACGTGTGAGAAGTAGTTTATGAGGCTGGATTATTCATTTCCATAAAGAAAAGATTCCTTACTCTGCTGGGTAAAGCTGGAGGGCTTGCAGAGGGAACCGTCAGAGGCTTGCACAGAGAACAAAACAGGCTGTGCTAGCAGATGTTACAACCCTGCAGGGCCAGGCACAATGGATGACAGGGAGATGCGTTGAGTTCAGAGAGCCTGACACCAAGCCTGTCACTGACACCTGTGTGTGCACATGCTAAGTTGCTTCACTTGCATCCAACTCTTTGAGATCCTACGGACTGTAGCCCACCAGGCTCCTCTGTTCATGGGATTCTCCAAGCAAGTATACTGGAGTGGGTTGCCCTTTCCTCCTCCAGGGGATCTTCCTGATCCCAGGGATCAAACCCATGTCTCTTGAGTCTCCTGAATTAGCAGTGGGGTTCTTTACCACTAGCACCACATGGAAAGCCCCAACTGACACCTGCAAGCACTTCCTATAGAAACAACCAGCTTGACCCAACAGGCCCCAAACCACGGTTCTGTCTACATATATCAAGACTTTGGGAAGAAAAAAAAAAAAAGAGACAAATATTTTTAGTTCAAGTTCCTAGAACCTGCTCCAGCTTGAACCAGTTAAGAGCGGTGAAATGATTCCCACATCCAGTAACAATTCAAGTCTCCCAACCATGACCTTCAGCTTCCCTGAGCTGTCATTACCAAAGAATTAAAAAGCAACAATCAATTCATTATAAATAAGTTTCTACCTGCCATGAAATCCACTGAAGCCCCACAAAAGGCTGGGAACCCAGCGCAGACCATTGGCGTGTACCCCTGAATGACACTGGTGGAGTGGCATGAACATGCTGTCAGGCCCCCTCTCCAGCTCACTTGGGTCAGTCACCATGTGGGTGGAGCAGGTGACTCAAATCAAAGCCCCCGACATGAATCATATAACTTCTTTCTAGGTCCAGACTGTTTATTTCCACTAGCTGGAGAGGGAGAGGCCACCCCAAGGGAGAAAAATCAGTCTTCATGTTCTCAATACCACTGAGCCGAAGCAGACAGAAATTTCTGAGGAATTCAAGTCATTCAAATGACAGAAATGGGCAACTCCATACCCTGGTGGCTCAGACAGTGAAGAATCTGCCTGCGATGTAGGAGATCCGAATTTTATCCTGGGTTGGAAAGATTCCCCTGGAGCAAGGCATGGCAACCCACTCCAGTATTCTTGTCTGGAGAATCCGAGGGACAGAGGAGCGTGGCAGGCTACAGTCCATGGGGTCACAAAAAGTTGGACATGACTGAGCGACCAACACACTATACTAATTATGAGATGCCCTATCATACATCCGCTGCATAAGGAACACTTACTAGTGACCAGTTTCCCGCAATGCAGATTCATCTGGAAACTGCACACCGCAGAAGGCAAT